CCCCCCCCTCCCCCCTCCTCCTCCCACAAAAACAAAACAAAATTTTTTTATTGAAGTGAAAAAAAAAGAAGAAAAAAAGAAAAAAAAAGAGAAAAGTCAAAAAATCAATCAAACAAACAGGGAGAGTTGTACAGAAGAAAACAACAAAAACAACACGCACACCATAAAAAAAAAGAAAAAAAAAAAAAAAGAAAAAAGGAGCACGCAATTCTCTCCCACAAGTATTTTGACCTCCTCCGATTAAACATCTCTAAAAGCAAAGAAACATACATATATAAATAGATATATAAATAAATAGACAGATAGACAGATATACAGATATTTTTACGCGCATGTCCACATAATTTCACGCACGTATGTGTACGATGCTTGCAATGCATAAAGCATCGCTGTTGATGATGGCATCCTACCGCAAGAAGCGACAACCCGGAACGCACCCTCCACACACGGTGAAATCTGGAAAAAGGCGCCAGGCAGATGCATTTACGCTTCGCAGTTCCTGGCAGCATGCACAGGGAGCCAGACAGAGGAAGACGCAGCAGCAGTCACCGATAATGTTGCCTCGCGTCCCGTTCTTTTTTCGCAGGTTGTACCGCGTGAACCACCTGCCAACGGGGCAGCAGAGAATACAGAAACAGTGCGGCCAGACAGAGCACGGATCATCCAGACTGGATGCGTACAGCTTACACATGGAGAACGGGCTTAGACACGTCCAGTGCAACAGGCAGTAAATGACACCCAAGAGGTCCGGATGACCGCAGCATGGCGCCAGCTTCCAGCACTCCCAAACCGCACCGGCTTGGCCTGACCATTCCAACTGGTCCAGTCCGCAGAGGCCGAGCGGCAGTGTGCTCTCAATCTCTCTTATCTGTGTGGACATTTCCCGCGAATGTTTTGTTTAATAATTTAAAAGTAGAAATGACAAAAATACGGGAAAAACTTCTTCTATTTCTTTTGCACTCCAAAGGAAAACAAAAAACAAAGCAGATGGTAACCAAAGAGTGGCGCCTGCAGAGATGCACCTAACGGCAGACACGCGGGGGAGAAAGTGCGGGGAGGCCACCCAACAAAATTAGATACACGCACAGACAACACAAAAAGGAATTCTTGTTTAAGCAGACACACGGTGCAGCAGATGGCTGATTATTTCGGCAGCCTCAACCGCGTATATATATATATATACTGCTGTAAAAACTATCGTTTCGCCTTACCGGCCTGCAGATCGAACGGCTCAAGGGACAAAAGAGAGCATAGAAAGGATGTCAATTGCAGAGTCGCAACAGGGCCCCCGTCAGCATCCTCTGAACCGCCCTTCAGCGACCCAACGAACGGTGTGCCAAGAGGTGAAACGCCAAAAAGAATACCGGCGGCCCCACCATTGCCTCGGCGAGGTTCGCTGTGTTGCAGCACGATGAGTGATCGTACAACAAATCGCGTTGCGACACCGCGGATGAGCTCTGAAAGGAGAATTTTCAATAAAACAAGAATCGCCAGCGACAACGCAAAAAGTAATGGTGCACGGAGAAGCATCATAGAGACAAACGGGTAGAGACTCCACAGTAGCAGTGCTGCATACGGCACAGGGACATAACCAGTACGCTTTACGTACTTTGGAAAAAAGCCGTCGCTCGCCGACAGAAGTGTCTTCACGTTGTCCACACGCAGTTGCGGTTCATCAACGCAGCGGATGTGAATGTTGTCGCCAAGCCGCCAGAGCACCGTTTCTGACGCCATGTCAAGTATCGTGAGTTGCGCGTAGGTGCGGTAAACGCTAAGGGAGATGCCATTAAACTTCGCTACAAAGAGGTGCTTCGTAAAATCCACAAACACTTCCCCCAAAAACACCAGAAGCATGTCGGCAATATCCAATACATGAAACTGCTCGTGCATGTGCTGCAAGGCCATGACAAGAACAAAAAGCAGGAACTTTAATCGTTCCACGGCATCCGCCGCTGTCACCTGCAGTAACGACTCTCGGTTATATTTCTTGTACGCCGCGCCCTTCACTTCGCTGAGGTTCGTTCCCACCATCAGAGCCAGCAGCAGGCGATCCTCCGCATTCATCGCAACGTTCAGCGTGACAACAGAGAGCAGCAGCGTCACTGCATGCACCGCGACACACACCACGGAAAGTATAGCACTCCCAACCGGAAGCCATAATGAATGCGTAAAGAGTACCTCGGGTCTCGGATGTTGTGGGTTTTTTTTCTCCCAATTTTGCACGCTTATTGTTAGAACCTCAATCACTTCCTGCGAGAGGGCTGAAAGTAGCCTGTCCACAACTTCAAGAATATTAAAGACCATCACAAGTTTAATAAATGACGTACGCCGCACCACATGGTAGAGGTAGGCGTATAGGTGTGTTGCGTACAACGACAGGGAGCAGTATGTCAACATGCCAACTGCAATGAGGACCAACGCCACGATATCGCGTCGTTCGAGGCGCGGAAATGCTACAATACACTTCAGTGGAAGGAGTAACATCGACAGGAGATTCTCCGCCATACCAAGTATCGTAAGGGCAAAGTAAAACTCAATCTCCACCAACATCTCCGGCATGCGTACAAAATGGTCCAAATATTCGTTAAACCCCGTGCCTTTTGGCAGGTGCGAGGGGTCGTCCCCGTCGTGCACTGACCGCCCCGCCCGCTCACTTTTTGTGGAGCCGAATAAACTACGCAGAATCTGTTCTCTCATTTGGATTCCGCCACCCCTAAGCTAGAGAAAAAAGCAAAAACAAAACAACAACAACAACAACCAAAAGAAGAGAGAGGAGAGAAAGGAAACACCAATAAGGCATCAAGAAAAGAATACATCCAAAACAATTTACAAGGGCTTCTGCCCAATAACCACACAAACACACAAACACACACACACACAGAGAGGGTGAGACATGCCCTCAACCCGAGAAGCGGCGAGGAAGGCCACAAGAAACAATACAAAAAAAGTATATATAATATATAATACGTGTTATCATGCATGGATGTATTTATCGATATGACAGGGAGACACGCCTCACCTCTATTTTTTACAGTGCCACCTGCTCCTGCAGCTTCTGCACTACGTGTGCAAATTCCCCATCTCCAAGTTTTTGTCCCTTCTTCATGTTGCGACGCTCCTTCTTAACCATTTCCTGCATCGACCTTCGTACCCGTTCAATGAATGGAACAAGTTGAGAAAAGATATCCTCCGGTTTCTTCTTCGCATCAATGATGCCAAAGTACTGCAGAAATTTTATTCGTGTGTTATCAAGACGGCCGTAGTGCTGCCTTAGTTCCTGCAGTTCTCCAGTCACACGCATCGTGAATTCCACCGCAAAGGGGACAAACGGATCCTCCGCATCCGTGCCAAGCTCAACCAGTTTCTTTTTCACAAGGGTACAGTGATTCTGGAATACCTGCACCGCCTTCTCCGCTTCTTGCATGGCCATCTCCATGTCCCCCCAACTGATCTGCATCACATTCGCGGTCAAAACAGGCTTCATCTCATCGATAAGATGTAGGGCCTCGGGACGACGCACCTTCACAGTAGTCACAAGGTATGTGAAAAGTGACGACTTTCCTTTATTGTCTTTCGTCAACTCCAGTTTATCCAAAAGGCTTAAATTCACCGCACCAGCATTACCCCTGCGTGCATCTCCATAATTCATCATATTACCAAAATTTAGCAGCAGTCCGAGATAGTACGGCAAGTATTTGCTGTTCAGCACGGCCACC